GCTTGGGTTAGTCTTACAAACGGTGTGGACCAAAGAGCTGACTGAAAGCATTGCCTTTTCTTGGTTAGTCTTCATGGTGAGGAGTGGCTGACAAATAAAAAAACCCGTTAATATCTTACATAAGTAAAATAAATGTATTAAAAATTATACATGAGATATCACAATAAGATCCTGAGGAATGGAGAATTCAAAATATTCTTGTACTTTTACCTTAACATCTGCAAGCATATCGATAGATGGGTTCTGGACAAAAGCAAGAGTGGTCATCCACATATCTGCATCAAGACCAGTTACTTGTTCACTCACAAGAAGTTGTACCATCAGTTTGAGGGTCTCTCTTGAGCCAGACATTGGAATGGCATCAAGGAAAAATTTTCTGAAAAAAAAATTCAAGGAAACCATTTCAATTTTGAGTATTTAATCTGTTATTTGATTACTTTAAATTATGATAAAACCACGGTAGAAAGATACACGTTAATTATCCCTAAAGAATGTCCTGTTAACACAGAATGTACAGGCATGTTTAATATTGGTCATGATAAAGAGAAACTGTGTTTGTGTGGTTTTAAAATATACTTCCACAATGAACACAAATTCAATGAAATAGATTATTTTGTATTTGATTTGTGTTATTTTATGGTATTAAGAATTAATTAAGAAACAACGCGTTCTCTTACCTTACTCTGTCGTTGTTAACTGAACAGATTTCTTTGCTGTTAATTTTTTTATAAATTGACAGAAGATCGTTAGATTGCATAGTCTTCATGGTATAAACCAATGATGTGAATAATTTTGGTGTTTCTGGGGTCACTCCATCCTTTGTGTTCGCACAAATCTCCATCAGTTTCTGTTCAACGTCCTTAATTGTGTGTTCTGCACCATTTCCATTTGAGTGTTGGAACTGAACTGGTACTCTTACAGAAACTTGCTCTGATGAAAAACAAAGAGATGAAACAACAGTTAGATCTTTTAATACTTTAAGAAGAAATGACACAGCTTCATTATTTGCTCCTTTCTTTCGTTTAGGTCTTTCAATAACTGTAATGCCTGAGGCTAGAAATAAAGAGAAATTTATCTTTAAATACCCAAATCTATTTTACCTGGATTTGACTGGGATTTGTATTCTTTAACAAAAGTCAAGGTTTGAGTGTTATGTGTTGTGGCACCACTGTCTAATCTGGAGAAAGGTACAAATTTGTGTTGTTCCGTACACTTTGCGACTTGAAGACGCCCAGTTGCTGATACTATTTCCTGCTGACATTCATGTGTACTCTTGATAAGGGGAAGAGTCTGCACATCCTGTTATTGAAATGACAAAAGGATTCATATGTAATAGACATTATAACTTTAGTTTTGAAAATGACATAATATGTTTTAGTATGTAGATAAATTCCTTTATTCCAAAACCAAAAGATAATTTCATAAATATATTTTTACAACGTTACTTACTGACTTAGAAGAATAAGGAATGCCCTGGATGGCTGAGTTACTGTTTTGGCGACCTGTACATCCAAGAAGATTTTTGGATTTCTTGATTATTTTGTTGTACCAGCCATTATCTTTAGATGTGTATTCAGTAACACAATTACCAGAAACATCACTCTACAATGAAAAAGTGTTTGGAAACAATTAATTAATGTTTGTGTTGAATGTTAAAATTTTTATGTACTATTCCACTATTTCAAGTGACAATTTATCTACATCTTTTTCTTTAAAATAAAAAAACATAACCAAAAAGACAACAAAAAAAAAAATAAAGAAGCCTTTCTGTATAGAAGAAATAAGGAATTGATTTGAGACTTACTTCGGTGACTGTTTGGTCTTTGTTGATGTCATCCATATTGTTCTGGATAAGGGACAGAATACCTCTCTTGATGTTTAAGATCTTGTCAGATTCTGGTTTTGACAGACACAACTCCTCGATTTTACCATCTTGGAAGGAGACTATCAATGGATTTCTTTCAAGTTCAGAAATGAGCTCTGTGGTCATTGGTTTCATTGTTGACGTCTCTGGGTCATGCTCTGACATTTTGACGTCACTCATCTAAAAGTAATTTGAATGGTATTTTAACATATAAATGCATTATCCGATTTAGTTTTAAATATTAGATTGTTTGTCATGTAAAACCATGATTATAGAATAAATATAATTTGACATGCTTTGTTATGCTTTTTATGACCACAATAGGTAAAAACTATATTTGGTAATAATGTATCAGTCACAATAAATGCTAACATACCCGGATGACCATTTCGCACTTAGAGAGGAAATCGATGTACACCTTTGCTGACATGTCAACACCGGCTTGATCTTCCGAAGCACCTTGTATCGCTGTTCTTATTTCGGTGTCATATCTGTATTCATATGTCTTTCCAATTTCATAATCAAATTTGTTTGACACTGAAACAAGAAATTCATTAAATGTTATGTGTAAAATTTATCTTTGAAATTTTAAGTTACCAAATACATGCAAGTCAATATAAACAGTCTTAAAAGATATCATACGGGAATTTCTTTTCAGAATTAGAATTAACAAGTAAGTGTCGGGTCATATGCTTTTATCCTCTAAAATGAAGTTAAAGAACAACAACAACAACAACAACAATAATAAGAGAATACAAATGATAAAAAGAAGTCAGAAGTAAATAACGTACCTGTACATTGTTTCGCACATTGACCTATGTTTACCTTTTCTTGTATAGGACCTGTAAAGATAGTTTTTAATTTGATTAGGAAATTTTATTATTTTTCTATTACACAAATATGATCGATCTTCAATAAGTTAAGTAGAAGTGAAGAAAGGAGGCTAAAAAGAATTGTACTAACTCATGTGACACAATTAAACATGACCCTGTTCTTGTTGAAACCCTTGTAAATCTTAAATATTTTAAGATCCTGTAACTAAATGTCCTTATGATTTCATATCATAAACACAATGCTCAAATGAAGATTTATCAACATGGTAAGTTCCCAAAAGCATTATTTCAAGTTTTATAAAGGAATGTTATTAGAAATTTATTTTCTATATAGTCTCAGTTAATTTTCAATAAGAAATAATGCATATATTTTAATGATTACATATAATGTAGACAAATATTTGCAGTACATATTTTACATATTCTTCGATGTTTGAAAATTGTTTTAGAAACATAATATATACATATATAAAATTCACTAAAGTGTGGTAACAGTCTTAATTACAACATACAGACTCTTTAAAATTTACATTTAAAGCATTAATTTGTCAATTTAATTTTTGACATTCAAAACTACTTGTTCAAACTTTTACTTATTTTAGTACATTCATCTTGACATGATTCACCCAAATTAAATATTACAAATAGTAAAATATATCTGATAGTAAAATATAACGAAAACATAAATGATATTATAATATAACAGAAAAAAATAAATATAAAAGATACCAAATATATGAATTATTCTAAAATACATGTATAATAGATGCATAAACATAACAAATGCTCTAGTATAACTCACTTATTGAAGTGAATAAAAATGAAAACTAGTATATTTATTAAAAAGAGTGCAAAGCATACAAGTACCTGAATAACATCAAACATTTAGTTCATACATTTTTATTTCGATTACGTAGGAACTAACCAGTGATGACTAATTTGTGTAAAGTTTTTTTCCTTTTGGAAACAACATTTAAAGAAAAACAACAAAAAAAACGTTATCACTGCTATCGATAAATGAATAAATAAATAAATAAATAAATGAACAAACAACAACAGAGAAATCATTTACCTGCAATTGTTGTAGCCGCAAGGCCAATAACAATTAGTAGTGTAAGCTCCATGTCGGAGCTATTGCAGGTTGTCTTCTTCTCTTTCGATGAAGTTTGCAACCAGTTCATCTCTTTATATACACAATCAGAGGGTTCAAACGACGCAAATAGAAAGGTTCAGAGTACAACAAGTCACACATACACTGATTCAGCATCATTACCGTACTTACTCTAAAACATTTCCGTGTCGATTCATTTGATGATTTAAAAATGACATTTTGTACAGTATCATTCTCTATATCTTGAATGATTTGAATCACCTAATATAGGGGTTTGTGTGTTGGTTTTTTCCCTCATAATATTTCTCTTTGAGTACGGTTATTTTCATTCCTTTTGACAACTTTTTACAAAAGTATTATCAGATTGAAACATTGTAAAGTTTTTATACCCTTTAAAATTTGTAGAAGAACAATATTGATCAAAATACATACTATGGGTTTGTTTCAAACAAAGCTAATGTAAATTTTAAATTAAATTTGTATTTAGATTTGAATTAACCTGAATTTTATAATTATATGTCGGCATAATTAAGGAGCGTTATGGTCGTTGGTTGATCTTTGCATGTTTATCTTGATATAAATAATATTAATACTAAGATTGTCACAGTGTCTTATAAAGAGACTGGACTTATAGGATACTACTGCAAGAAACGGAACATTTTCAGAAATACATTAAACTGTTCGTTCGGTGAAATCACACAGGAGAACGAGATTTTCAGCATTTTACCATTTCCACTGTTTATAAGTACAATAAGTATTTAATATAGTACAATCTTGATATACTTTACAAGTCATTTGCAACAAAATGATGCGCACATTTTTTTCAAGATCTTGAGTACGGTAACTGTACTGACCAAGTGAGTGTGGACAACCGATTTAAAACTGTACTTTGTAATTATGTTAACCTTTATCATATAATGAGTTACAATATAGAACGCTGATCTTAAGTGAACAATCTATAATCGCTTATTATCTTGATTTATCACTATTGACAGATCATCCTGCTGATAATATTAGATGTCAGCATTTTTCAACTATTTGTTATCGTGGTTCTAGAGATTGTTCGAGTTGATTATAGAATTAGAAATTACATAATGAAATCAAAGTAGGTTGAACATTATCATATCGGTGAAAATTCAAAATCAGTGTCATTTCAGTCCACCATGTACGTGGGTTTTTTTTTTTCGAAAACACACTTTGATACTTTAAATTTCTATCGTAGTTGCTTAGAATAGAGACAAATTCTGCTAGGATTAAATGCATACATCACTTAATAAAAAGACGATTTTTCGGATATATTGTATAGAAATGAAAAAAAATAAAGATGTATCAATAAACATGGTTACTTCTTACAGATAAATGTTTACATATATTTTGTAAAGATGATATATGACGCGTGAAATAAATGTAGTTTCTTCTACACTAAACGTTTAACTTATAAATCATTTTTTTCTAATTGAAATTATATATTAACTTATAATGATTCATAACAATCAATTTTTAAAAGCTTTTAAAATCGATTATGTAGAAAGATATTTCCACATTGTGTTTTTTTCAGAGTTAGGTTCTTAAAATGAAATAACTTCAAAACTTAAAAAAATAAAAACATTTTAATACTTTTTCACTTAAAAATGTGTGTTTCCAGACATCAAAAGTGGAAATTATTGTTTTAACATTGAAAGCAAGCTTCTTCGTAAAAACATATGTTTGTTAAAGGCACATTATGCCACAGAAACGAAAATTGTTTACTTCTTTAGAAAGTGCAAATATGTATTAAATGATATTTTAATAATGGTTTTAGAGCATGTAAAATTCTTATTACCTAAAGAAAATAGAGATACATGTGAAATAATTTGTCATAAATGTAGCAAAATCTAAACAAAGTAGTATTTTGACCTCCATACAAAATACTTAATCACTATTACTGTACCAATTGCCAAAAAGCTACAGATAAAAAGATGGTTCATTTAATTGGCCAATGAGTAACTTTTTGAAAACTATGAAAGTACTCCAAAAATGAAAAGATTTTTAGGAATAAGAATAGCATTTCTGAGGCATAATGGGCCTTTAAATCATTACGATTGATGATATATAAATGGTGACCTTATAGCACTGATTACAAATATTTCTATATTATATCGTATAATATAGTTATGACTAAATATAATTTTTTCTATGAAAAACAAAGTACAAATATCGCACTTTATATAACTGTAGGTATAAAAGAAGATGAAAATTGGATATCTGGATTTTTATTTTATATTTTTATTAACAAATGATCAAGCTATAAACTTTCATTTATGTATTACGGGCATAACATTACTGTATATTGATTGAGATTTGTAATAGGTATATAAAAAGGATTCACTTTTACAGAATAAAAAAGTAAAAAAAAAATGAGCTTGTTTTTGGACATGTAATATATCTATTTTCAACACTGCACAAGGAACATTTATCACGTTTTAATATATATACCGTACATTTATATTGAAACATCAATATTATGTTTTTGTGAATTGACAAAAGCTTCAATTACATGCGAAAAAATGCGAAAAAAAAACGCATGACCAACAATAACAGAAATAGTCTACTGACGCTCTAGGCCAGATATACTGGCGCTTATACGTTCAAAACAAAACGAAAACTGCAAAATTCACACGTTAGTTTTTTTTTGAATATTAATGTTTTGTATAAAACTAATTGAAATAAACTTAGTGTTATCTACCATGATGTTGTAAAGTAAAGTCATCATTTTTTTACACTTTCTTCTCATAGTAATATCTTGCCATCTGTCTTACATTTATCATATTGTGTCTGTTAGTGTTGTAAGCTTTTTTAATACAAAAAAAAAACAAATATTAAGTAACAAACAATATACTCATTTTAAGTAAATATATATCATTATGGAATTTTGTAATTTATTGTAAAAATTGTTTAATTTACCCCCATGTTGACGCGGAATGAATTTATATAAATCTTGCTTATTTTCTCGAGGGGAAGACATTTTTAACTCACTCGACGCGAACAATTATACCCTCTTCTTATTTGTTTGATACATCTTATGACTTCTTGAAATTATAAAATGATTAAATAATCACCGGAAATGGTTGAAGTGTTGCATTATAACTACTGTGTCCCCATTCATTGAATTGAATGCAAGTAACAACTATATACAGTATTTAGAGTATTAGTTAAGCATTTACGTATATTATCATTGAAATATTACCATTTTGTCTACATTTAGTTAATTTTATAGGTCTAAATCTGGTCTCACTTAGACTAGATCACTAAGGCTAGATTACTTATAATCAAGCAAATCTTATTTCCTTTCTTACTACACATATCATGTGCATTATTATTGAAATATTACTATTTTGTCTACATTAAGTTAATTTTATACGTTTATATCTTGTCTTATTTAGACTATTCATCAAGAAAAATCTTATTTCCCTTTTTACTACAAATTTCATGTCCATTAGTATTGAAATATTAATATTTTGTCCACATTTAGTTCATTTTATAGGTTAATCTCTTGTCTTATTTAAACTATTTATCAAGAAAATCTTATTTCCTTTCTTACAACAAATTACATGAATATTTTTATTGAAATATTAATATTTTGTCCACATTAAGTTAATTTTATAGGTTTATATCTTGTTTTATTTAAACTATTCATTAAACAAAATCTTATGTCCCTTTTTACTACAAATTTCATGTACATTATTATTAAAATATTGATATTTTGTCCACATTTAGTTAACTTTATAGGTTTTTATCTAGCCTTTCCAACCAACCATTATTGTGTACGTGTTAAGGACACATGAACTTTAAATATTTGATTGAACTTTAGCACACATGTTTCTCGTATGTTGCCTTATGTTTGTTTACAAGTTATAAAGGTAATAATATATTATGACTGATTCAGTAATTGTATTTAGTATTTTGGATGCATTTTTCAGTTTCGTATGTTAAGTAAATAAAACATAGCACATATAGACAAATATGTTTTCGGCTTCATACAGTACATTCATAAAGACCTTTATAAAACAACAGAGACTAGGATACTTAACAGTCGACTGTCTAGAAGGAAAAGCAAAACGAAAATGTGTTTCAATATTTTTATTTTGGCAATGGTATTCAACAAAAAGAATCATACGTTTTCACAATTTTAAATGATACACACATATCTATAATGTCTTTTCATCTCATAAAATACTTATTGTCTTGGGTAAAGTTAGTAATAAATTCATCTGTAATAAACAATGTATGATGAAGTATGTTAAAACACAGCAGTATTTCATAGAAAAATTAGGAAAAAAAATCTTGAAAAATAACAAACATTAATTGCAGAAATAGAATTGATGTTAATATGATGTATTGTTACTGTATATTTTAATAAAGATAAAAGCACTAATGCAAAACCTATCTGCCTACAATGAAAGTTATAAGTAAAGATAAAAATACTTGTATCATGTCGCAGCAGTTACATAAAAAATAAAGACTATCAAGATAATGATGACAATTGCTGAAATGAAACTAATAGAGTCATATCAAAAAATGTTTATTTGTAAGAAAATATGGATCATTTCGGTAACCAAAATCAAACATACACCAATTGAAGCATATAGATGTATTCGTGACCTAAACTTATTGTCCAATCAAATGGAAACTTTTCGGTTACATGGATATTGGTTTCAACGTATCTAGCCGTGTAGATTGAAGATATCTTGTGCTGAAAATTTATGTAAATATTTTGTCCTCTAAGTTTTGCTCTGATTTATTTTATTTGTTTGAAAACACGGAGGCTCGCGTAAGAGTTCCCCTACATGATTTTTGTTCAAAATCAGCTGGAAAGAGATGCATGAAGAGTAACACATTTATTATAATGTAATATCTTAAACATTTTCTTTATATAAAAATCTTTAACATAAATAATTAGATACTATGTCTATTCTTTTACTGCCCTTTCGAGTGATGGGTGTTGGAAGTATATGTGAATAATTATTATTGTTTCCAAAATAAATTGCAATTGGACAAGTCAAGAAAATGAAGTACTTTTCATTCTTTTTCTTTTATCAAAAATATAAAATGAAGTGTATCGCTTATAATATCAAAGCAATTAGAGCATTCTGTTTTTTAACTAATCTACCATTCGTTCTTCCAGCGAATGACTAACAACCTTGGACGTGATAGAATCATTATTCTCAGACAGGCAACACACGTTTGAATTGACAATTTACTTTTAAATATATTAGTATTGCAAAAGTTGATATTGCATGTCAAACAAAAACCCATAGTTGATAGGGCATGTCAAACAAAAACTAGAATATAGTAGGACATGTCAAGGAAAATAGGATATGTCAAGGAAAATCCAGGAGAGAAGTTGATACGTTAAGTCAAGACAAGAAGTTGATAGGGCATGTGGGACAAAGACCGGCACTTGATAAGACATGTCAAGAAAAAGACCAGAAGTTGAGGACAAAGACAAATCAAAACAAAGACCAAAAGTTTAGCAGTGTGACATGTATTATACTTTGCCTCTATAGTAGAGAATATAGACAAAAAGGTGCTTTCCATGTTGTGAAAATGAAGCTTGCAGTTACTGTCAAAGGATTTTACATTCTTAAATCAAATATGGTTCATTCTCTAATAATGTCTTTTAATGATCCAAACATGTACCTTTCAAGGCATGTCCATTATCATCATGAAATATGATACAAAACTACATTTCCAAGAAGACTTGATCCTAAGCTATAAAATTTCTGAAGAAAACATTAAAATAAAACTCAGTTCTTGTATTTCTATATGAACAAATCGCAAAAAAGGCATTTTAATAACTTATTTTCAACAACAGATTCAATGTTACCAAGTGATGATATTTAACAATACGAATTATCAAAATAATAATGCAGTGACAATGTACAGGTTGATAATGTAGTTGAACGATCAATGTACTGATGATGATAATGAAATCAGGATGGGTAAAATAATGATAATGGAGGATAACAACATGATTGTACATAACCTTCACCTACAATGGTTCAAATGGATGGATAATTATCTTTTATATAATAACACACAGTTAATACTCGCTTTTAAAAGGTATTTGACAACATTCAATTTTCCTTTCTGAAATATTTGCTACTCCCTAAAATCCAACACTAAATGACCAACACCATTTTCAATATTTTTCAACATTTTTTTCGTTACAGTGTTATCAATCTGTTCTAAATCCTTGTTCCTAAATGTCTGTAAATGTTTGTTTAGTAAACAAGAATATCTGTAAGAATCTTTCAATACTTAAGTATCTTTTGATGTTTTCCAATTAACTTTTACGTTCCTATTTCACTTGGCATCTCTAATTTAGAATTATATGGTCACACTAGATATACAATCACATTTCAATAACATTTTTCAAAAGTCTGTTGGTCTATTACTTTAAATAGCAGATGTTTGTTTTTATTTTGTTAAAATATGACGAAAAAAATATGGATTAAGATTTAATTTATTTATCTATCTTCTCATTTGCCTATGTTTACAAATGACAATGTCCATTTAACATTCGATTACACTTCAACCTTTTACAGAATTCGACAGTCATTTTAATCAATCAAGTTTCCGGTGAATCGTTTAGAAACCTCAGCCAATATACATTACGATTTCCAACATGCGTCTCCTTCCCCATCCTCACGTGGCAAGTTTCTATAGGCAGATTCAATCTACCTAAAATGTGCTCTGACTCCTGCTCGAAGAAACAGGGCAAACTGACTAAACAGAAGCGAAAGGTAAGTCTTGTTCCCGGTGTGTTGTCAAACTGGTGTACTCATGTGCAGTTTAAGGGCGTTTAACTTTGTTTCCAGTCTTTGTTTGTCTTTCACAGCAGCTTCTAATTTATTACTGAGCTCAAGCTCGGACGATTTCCACATAAGCAGTAATTCCTCTTTGCTAAAATGTTCAATGTCCAAGTTTGATTGTGTTTTGTCCCTTCTGTTTCCATGAACAGTTTGTCGCTTTCGAGGATGGAAAGTTCTTGATTCTTTCGTCTTAGTATCAGGTATTGATAATCGTCTAAATGAAGATACACCTTTCTCATTGTTCAAAACAACACCGCCCTTTTGAGGACAAGCGTCGGGTGAAAATGAAAGTTCTCTCCTCTTTGGTTTATACTCATCAGAAAACATGTCCCCGTTTGGAGTCTTCTTTTGAAGTGGAAGGCAGGGGTCTAGTTCAGACGGGACGTCATACACATGCTCTTCTCTCTTCACCAGATTTGTTTCTGAAATCGTTTGTAAACTTGACTCAATGAGGGGTGGTGTTTCAGATTTATATCTGAGCGGATCAAAATTATCTGGATTTTTCTGAACACTAGAGTTTCCTGTTGAAAATGAGCTGGAAAATGAGCAACTTGAAAGAATTTCCGTGGACAAATCATGCTCATCTTTTTGTGGAGGTGTCCAATCGAAACCTGCATTTGTTGAACAATCGTCAACATTTGTTTCCCTTACTGGTAATAACAAATCACCGCAATTACCCTTAAACTCTAGATTCTGTTTTCTCAACTCGTCCATATCAACTACTTGGGTTATATCCTTTAGAGAAATTTCAGTTATCTTTGGCACCGGTGTACTTGGTTGTGAATCATCACCAAACAAGTTATTATCTTGCATTTCTTTCATCCTGTAAACAAACAAAATAATTAACTTGTTAATTTCATTTCTATATATCTCCTTATAGTATTAACAACAGATAATTGACTTGTCAAGCCTTTCAGTTTCACTTACACTTCATTTTTCATGTCTACTTTCAAGCGTTGGTTGTTGTTATTTTTTTTTATTTATTCATTACAAAAGGAACAAAATTTCAAGCCCTATATTTTCGTATATTTTTTATTCTAGGCTATAACTTGGAAACAAACATAAATGACAATAGTAAAAGGGTGAGATAGATTTAATTATGTTAGATACACGAAAGCATTAAATAGCGTTTAGCATAAAATTCTAATACCTTTACTTCATTAAGACAACACACCGGTCCAAAATATGCGACATGCATGTTAGACTGCAGGTAATTTGATTTATATTTTTATAACTAAAAATTTTATTTTCCCTAAACTATGTAAGACTTTAAATGAATCACTCATTAGCACATTGTATTTCTCTACAGAGAGATATTTGTTGAGACACGTCTTCTGAAAATGATGTTTTTTTTACAGCAACGATACGTATACAAAACATGTACAAATGTCTTTACTTGCATCGAAATATTAAATAAACAGATACAAATACTTAAATACGTGATTACTCGTTTCATGAGATTTAGCAATCAATAATTGATAGAAAAATAACAATAACAAAGTAGTATTACTAAAGACATTGATAAAAATGAAGATACGTTTAAAGTATATTGTAGGTGTCTAGATAATAATGTAGATTTTTCGCTTATTTGATCGGATACTAGTACAATACCCGATTTTCATTCAATTGGACTTTTCAAGGTATCAATAAAATAAAATTATCATCCTAGGACAGTATTTGATCTATTAAATAGTTTTTAAAGGTTAATGAGATCTAAAAGAAATAGGTTTTGATTAGCTTCCGGGATAATGTATATGAATAATTATGTCTATAATGATATGAAATTTCATTCTAAGGAAGCATTATAGAGTTAACCTCAGATATATGAATTATGTCTATGATGAAATAAAATGACATTTTACGAAACGTAATGAAATTAACCTCAATATATGAATTATATCTATTATGAAATAAAGTTTTATCAATGGACGCATAATCAAATTTACCTCAGATATATGAATTGTGTCTCTGATGAAATAAAATATAACGTTCAAACAAAGCATTATCAAATTAAGAAATTAGACAAGAGTAATTTAAATTGAAAATATTTGCCGATAATCCGCCGATTCAAACAACATTCCTTAATTAAAATAATCAAAAATTTTAGTAAATTATACTTTTAATATATCGTTATATCTAAAAGATTTAGGTGGACATCAACACATTTCTATTAATCATCTTGTACACTTATTTCATAGAAGAAATGAAAAATTTACACCCCCCCCCAAAAAAAAAAAGAATCTGCCTTCGCCAAACATATTAAGATAACCGTTATAGTCCAAAAGGATAGTTTCTTCCATTGCATTTCTGTCAATGTCGTTACAACTGAGAATACATAGACAATTCTATTCATTTTGAAACTACAAAGACAGAGTAATATCAAAGTAATATAGTCGTAAAGACGGAATGTTTTTCAGTCTTAAAATGTTTTACTTTTAACAATTTATAATCAAGAAAACAAAAATTAAAACATTTTGAAGTGAAAAAAATACCGTCATTCAAATGTGTAAAAAAATACAGGCGATAATTTCATTAATATGGAAATCAACAAAATCCATGTGTTAGAATGATTATCATTAAATTTACATAATTCAAGGTGATTATATAATACACAGATATATGCGCATACATACATATACATATATAGGTAAACATTGACAATAAAGCATCACTAATATAATAACATTGGTTACATTATTTGCTTATATTCATGATATGCAGTCACATGGCGAATACATGGAAGTAGAATATAGAATATAGAAAAAGGAGATCTGGGAATTAACTTTATGACCAATCAACGAACCATGTCCACGAGCGTAGCATAGCATTTATATCTTTTTGCTAACCAATGGTAAGACAAACGTTGATATCCAGAAAAGTTACAGCTGAAAGCTTGGTAAGTAACCAAAACGATGAATTTGTTGAAATTGAATAACTATTTGTTGATTTGTGTTTTGAATTGATATTTAAAATAGACATAATGCTTGGATTTTTAATGGAAATTATAAAATGTACGGGATGCATATATTTTGTTTCTTATTATTAACTTGTTCATTAATCTTGTCTGACGAAAAAATTACATATTTTGATTTTGAGCCTAAGCTAACAGTAGGCGACAACAGGTTTCTTTATATGAGTATTTTGAGGTTCAACGATTCTTTAAAATGAGAACGTGGCCGAGGTGTAATATCACTGTCAAATTTTGTACTTTGGATTCTTTCATATTCGGAATATTCTATCAAGCTAGCTTAAAGAAGGTCGGTGATTTTAAAGTCCCTTATCTTGATTTAAATAATGCACAAAGAGGCACGGAACGAAGGCTGGAAAATAAGTAATATATTCTTGTCTTCTAAGGGGAAGAAAATTAATTCCTTATTGCATGTTGATATATCATACAACAGTTTGCCACAGTGATTGTATTTTGCTACGCTCGTGGAATATACATTTCCATCAACAATTCATGCAAAAGTATATATGTAGCAAGCTGCGGTTGGTCTGCTGATAGTTTGGGGTTAAAGTTGAAATATTACGTCTGCTAAACAAAACAACTGACTCTTTATTGTCGGCATATATGGCTGAATATCTTACTTTTAATAAATGTTATTGAACTATTTTTCAATTATATATCAATATCAAGCGTGTGTTTAAATCATTTTATCATTTGTAACTTATGAAGTCTAAATAATTTTTCTGTTCTGACATTTTATTCAATAGGAACATTAAATTCTTTTCTTTTTAAAAAAAAAAAGAGGTTATCAAAAGTAATAACAACAATTACAAAAAATAATGATTGATTGAGTATGGTTATGAGCTGTATTTTTGAAAACAATACAACAGATTTTTAGAGTTTAGATATATCTTTAAATGTTTATTATTGTAATATTTCATCAATGTTTCGTCAATGTTTTCACAGAAAGAGATAAGCCTTTTCCTCAAATACAGAACAAGTATTACCAGGATCTTTAATGATGGTAGTGGGTACTCATTGTTATTTTTTGATATCGAAATCCTTTAAATTTTTATTATACACTATACTGAATTAAGGGGCCAAACCATTACGCATGTAAAGCCGGTTAAGGGCTGAAATCCATTTAATGTTTGATGCCAGACATGGAGGAAAACTATCATCCGGTAATATCGATTCTATATTCAAGGGAGATTACTTAATTTGAAAAACATACATGAAGATATCTAATATTTGTCCCGCTTGTTGCTTTAAACTACATTGAACTGTCGTATTAGTTAAACTGTATAATTAACATGAACAATATTTGCAATCTAATGTCACTTTACGAATATTGTTACATATGGCATGTTAAAGCACACATCATATAAATAAAACCGGTTAAGTAGTTGAATATTTTCGTCATAAAGTCTGAAGAATATAATGTTTGTTAGATAAAGGGAGACTATCAAATTTGGAGAACTATTTAAGAATGTAAGATTTGTCCTACCTTACTGTACTCTTAATTATTGAAAACGTTACCGGTGAAGCGATCATAGATAAAGATAATTCCCTTTTTGTTTTGAAACCTTAATCTATGATTTTACAGATTTTAAGTTGAAAGTCTTGCATATTTAGTTAGAAATAATTGTCACACTGGTTGGCCTAAATATTAGTATAAATAGGACACGATTAAAGTTTTAGTTAAGAATGATGTAAAAGATATTATCATTCTGTTTGATTGCCAACATAGAAAATAGTATCACATTCTTAGATTCCAACATAAATTTTTGAGTTACATTTAACACAAGTAATAAAGCCTTTAACAAGGTGTACAAACGTTAGTAACACGGTTTCGAAGAAAATGTCACTGTACTGACGCTCGTTTAACTTTATTCTTCCTGCCTGCTTTATATATATTATAATTACTTTGTCTGATTTAAGAATGATTCAAATCAAGGTTTGTTGAGAGGCGTACTCAATGAATTACAGTAATTCAATTCTAAAGGAAATTAAAGTTTAATCTCAGAAGGATCTATGTGAAAGCAGAAAATCTTTCATGTGTAGTATCTTCCGACAGTTTCTGTCTTTACAGATGTGCTGAGGTGCTCATGGAATGGAAATAATAGACGAGAATACTATATTTGATGTATTTTATACCAGCTGTACAACATGCTCAAGTAAAGCTTCTCATTTGATGTCGGTGATAGTTTGATGTCACGAAGATTTCATAAGACCCATATCTTATCTTATACAAATATCAAAATACATATTTTTTTCATTTTTAAAGTGAAACTAGTTTGTTTTAATTCAAGGTTTTTCCTACTTTCTTTCTGTATCAGTGTGTCAAATTATTATAATCTCAATTTGATAATTATTAAAATGTACATGCCAAAGTGTAAGAATATATGGGCATAAAAGCAATTAAGCGTAGAGATGAAAAAGAAGAAAGAATGAAATCCAGTTGAGTTAAAGGACCAACCTTGCTTGTAAACTGATAATACTTACGCTATTGACGTTGGGCTGTTAGCAAAAGCACAAAGAGCATTATAGTATTCAATTAGCCACTGTATCATAGCAAGCTCGTCTATAGATATTAAGCATACCAATCTATCTAGATATCAAATATTCTTTTATCTTACGATGCAATAAATAAAACATTCAAATATAGATATTCAATGCAATATATACACAAGTATATAATCATATTATCAGTTGTATTGTAACATAACTAAGAAAATAGACTATGCTATGTTATTTGTACTCGTAGAGACTGTGACCAAGCCTTATTATGCATAGTTCTAATGTTTCATTAACATTCATTAATGTTAAGATTAACGTGTTTTCCTTATCAGTCGGTATAAATATAAAACAAAAGGGACGTAATAACTGTATAACTGGGAATGATAGATAAACAGCTTATGTAAGTATCATATTTGATCCTTAATATATCATATTTAGTCACTTGGAATAAACAGAAATTACACACTAAATTACAAATAAATCAAATTAAGTTCTGATAATGAACGACCTTATAGTTATAGACCAATGATGATGAGAAACGTTTAAACAACGATACACAAGACAGTACAAGCTAGCTGTTCACTTCCGTCAGCCAGTAACGTTTATATAACGACAACGTATCAATATATATCATACATGATGTGAAACATTCAAACAAATTTGTACATAAAATGTTTAACTAAACATTGCTTAAACACATTTTAATATGTCGTTATGAACTTAAAATGTTTAATCAATTGCTGCCTTAGTCCATTTTCTTTTGATTATGTACTTCCAACAAGAGTGCTTTCAAAGGAAAAGAGCATATAGTATCTACCCACACTCCAATATTTCCATAAATCATACGCGTTATATATAAGTAAAAAGACTTCCCTTGGGATAAGTCCTGCCAAATGAAGAAGAATGCAAATTTGATTGAGTACCTACCATTTAGCTTTTTCTATTATGTCGAAGAAATTTCTATTCAATCGTTTCCTTTTGGCTGCGTCTGCCATTTTGCTAGTCTGTAAAGAAAAAAGATATGACGTAAATAATAATCATTTCTCTTGCTGCTAGGCTGTCTTATGTCTGTAAGTGGGGACACAAAAGTAATTTTTTGAATACTTCATTTGTAGACAGGAAATTGGATTCATTATGAATCTGTCATAGAGTACGTAGAGAACTTTATCTATAAATAATCATAACAAACAATACAAATTAATCAGTAAGCAATGAAAACAGACTAAACTATAACATTCGGCTTCTAGACAATTGAACATGTGTCCAGAAACCTGTGAACTGCAACATCACCTAATAACCAAGATTCTAAAAGTAGATGCAACATCAACCAATAACCAAGATTCTAAAAGATGATGCAACATCCCCTTATAGCCCAGATTCTAAAAGAAGAAGCAACATTACCTAATAAACAAGATTCTAAAAGAAAATGCAACCAAGATTCTAAAAGAAGATGTTATGAAACATTTCCCAGTAAATCAAAGATTATTTTATCCAGTAAATCAAATTATGACAGATTATTAATACTTGATACATTTTTCATGCTATAAACATTTATTATTGTATACATTATTCAAAATATCCTGTAACAGAATTGCTTTTAAACGCTGTATATTGACACTTTTGTTTATGACAAGATGAAATTTTGTAGTAAAAGCAGTTTGCCACAACAAATTGCCATATTTATATTTCCCGTCCTCTATATTATTTATACAGTTTTCATATCTGAGTTATATGTTTGATAGCCTGCTTTTTATGTTTCTATATTATTATGATTTAACTAAAGCTATCTTGAATACCAGGTATCTGCCCATTGCTTATGTATTTTTCATATTAGCTATCCCATGATATTTGTGGCGTTGAAAGTTTCAGATAGGAAAATGTATTGTATTTAGTAAAGTCTTTACCTTTATGGTGTTTTTCTGGAATAGTTTCATAAAATCTCTGTTCTTCATTATACCGATCATTTCTCTACAAGTCTCGTGAGCAGGCACTAGTTCTGCACTTGTTATAGATCTGTGTAAACGCTGTAAAATACAAAAATTAATAAGTTAAAATGTTTTCTTTATGGAGAAATTTATTCCTTATTAAAAGTTCATGTTTGTATTAAAGATATACTAAGCTCATCATTTGGTTATAAAAAATTTAATCACAGAAGTGTATTGAAATCTATGATATTCTTACTGAATATGTCTAATTAAAATTAAAAGATAAATAAACTATGTATGGGAAGCTGCGTTCCCTATTACATGTCAAGTTAAGCTGGTATTTTCTTAAAAAAAAAAACCTGCCAGTTTTTGTTGACACTTTATATTCATATTATGTCCACCTGTAGTGTGTAGAATTTTAAACACAGCGTATCTACTTTGTATGAAGTCAAACCATGTCTATTTCATATTTACAACGAGAATGTGTAGCAATTATCAATATTTTCTAATATCAAATTTGATCACAGTATCTCTTTAAAAATATAAAATTTTGAAAAGTACAGATATAAAAAAAAAATCAACGTATTCATTGAAGTCTTTGACTTGTTAAATGAGGCACATGACGCAATTAATCATATTAATCTCTCGGCAGAGTTTCACCATTGATTCTCAGTAAAAACGTAGAATTTGATAAATGACATTTTAACGTTGAATTATTATTTCACAATCTTAACAAAGTTGAAGTTAATCGAAAACAACACACAAGTGAGTATAAAAGGTACCTAAAAAGTATCGTGTTTTAAAAAGTTGCATATATATGTTTAAGAGAAAAATCACATATAAATGACAAACATGTATACCGACAGATATCAGAAGTTGATAAAATGAAAGTATACAAAATGTAGACGTCGTCTAAGGAACGTTATAAATTAAATAGCAGAATTTTATGCGAATTCAGTCAGGTTTTGAGTGCTCTGCTTAGGTGGTGGTGTTGGTAGTTTTCACTCCGGATCACAGCACGGCAGTAAGCCACATTAAATTTACCAGAGCACAGTTCAGCCATCGCCTCTTTTCTTGGCAGGCCGTCAAACAGTTTACCAATACTAGTTGCCTTCACTCTCGCAAAGAACTGATAACTTCTGAACATGCTAGAGCAGAGGTACAGTGCGAATGACGTCCGGGAACGAACCCGTTTAACAGTCCAATACCCTATCTATTGAGTTTACTGGACAGTGCCGTGTACTACTCTTAGAAACCCAACACATGCACGTTAATTAAAAAAATACTTAATTTATAGTTTTCATCAACATTTAATTATAAAAGCCAACACTCGTCAATATTACCAATATCATGATCATCTGATACTTTTGTATTTTAATGAAACTCAAGTTTTATAATTAATACGGATTGCAGAACAATACATTATTTGTTCTTTTTGTAGATGCTTCATTTCTAAATAGCATTAAAATATTGAAAAATTAAACACAAAAATACATTAAAACATTTAACCTTTGATGAATTAAGAGACTGCCATTTTATTGCATTTCTATCTGCCAATGTCATTTTACATTCAATTCTCTTTAAGGGCCAATATATCTGTATTAATATTTTATTTAAATTTCATTAATGCGCAACAACAGTTATTGCACAACAGAATTGAAATAAGTTTGGTGAAAGTGCAGTATCAATCTAAATTAAATTACAAGTAACTGTTATATATCACAATTTATCTTTACAATCACTAAAAAGTCATGAATTATCAAGAAAACTGAGGAGCAGTCGCTGACAAATTAAACAAGAGGGCCATGATGGCCCTGAAGTCGCTCACCTGTATATAGGCCCCCAGGGCGGAGCCAGTTTAAACCCCAGGGCTTTCATTTGAACAAACTTGGTAGACACCCATTAGAAGATATTTCACGCTAAACATCTAAGGACTAGCTCGTTGAGTTTTAAAAAAAAGGATTTTTTAAGTTTTAACTATACACATATAGTTAAAAGCAATGAAACCCCTAGGGCGGGGCTAGTTTTGACCCCAGGGCTTTTATTTGAACAAACTATGGAGACACCCACTAGAAGATGTTTCATGCTTGATATCTAAACTCTAGCTATTCTGTTTTTTTTTAAAGAAGATTTTTAAGCTTTTGCTATACACATATAAGGAAAATCAATGTCCCCCGGAGCAGGGCCAATTTTGACCCAAGGACTTTATTTGAACAAACTTTGAAGACACTAACTGGAAGATGTTTCATGTTAAATATCTTAACTCTAGCTATTTGGGTTTTTTCAAAGAAGAATTTATAAGTTTTTGCTATACACATAAATAAAATCAATGACCCCCGGGGCAGGGCCAATTTTGACCCAAGGGCTTTTATTTGAAAAAACATTGTAGACACTCATTAGAACATGTTTCATGCTTAATATCTAAACTCTAGCTATTTGTTATTTTTTTCAAAGAATTTTTAATTTAAAGTTTTTGCTTTACACATATATGGAAAATCAATGACCCCCGGGGCAGGGCAAATTTTGACCCCAGGGCTTTTATTTGAACAGACTTGGTAGACACTCATTAGAACATGTTTCATGCTAAATATCTAAGCTCTAGCTCTTTGGGTTCTTTAAAAGAAGATTTTATAAGTTTTTACTTTATGCATATAGGGAAAATCAATGACCCCCTGGGGCGGGGCCAATTTTGACCCCAGGGCTTTTATTTGAACAAACTTGGTAGACACCCATTAGAAGATATTTCATGCTAAATATCTTAGCTCTAGCTCTTTGAGTTCTTTAAAAGAAGATTTTTTAAGTTTTTACTATATGCATATAGGGAAAATCAATGACCCCCGGGGCGGGGCCAATTTTGACCCCAGGGCTTTTATTTGAACAAACTTGATAGACACTCACTAGAAGATGTTTTATGCCAAATATATAAGCTCTACCTCTTTCGGTTTTTTAAAAGAAGATATTTTAAGTTTTTTCTATCGGTTGCCATGGCAACCAGAGTTCTGCATGGAATTAAATTCTTTGAACAACTTTTAAAGGTGACCACCAAAGGAACATTCCTGTGAAGTTTGGATGAAATTGGCTCAGCGGTTTATGAGGAGATGTCATTGAAAGTAAAAGTTTACGGACGGACGGACGGACGCCGGACGAAAAGCGATCACAAAAGCTCACCCTGTCACTTTGTGACAGGTGAGCTAAAAAACCGGTCTTAAGACATTCTTCAATCAGGAACCTAAAATTCATTATGACACATAAAATAAAAATTAAACTACCATTCGTATAAAAAATAAATGTACATACATATATACATTGAAGATTTGCTGAATTTTACTCTGACTGACGATAGAAGCCGACGGGAAAAAGTAATCAAGCTTTTTTTTAAAAAACAAGACAAAAAATGCAAAGACCTCTCTTTTACATTTAACAATTTTCGTTAATACAAAATCATCTCAGTAATTTCGTTTTGTGTTTATATTCAGTCATTTCGTTGATCAAAAGTCTTGTAAACATGAACTTGCAAGAAGTATGAACATTTTACTTATGTGCCTATTATATCATGAAGTTTCATCATAATTGTGAGTTAACAGAAAATCAATCTTCTTTCAAAAATGAAAACAGCAAACGTTAATTATCTCGCATTCCATTCGGCCAAATTTCGAATTACTTTCAAAAGGCATTGTAGTGTGTCTCCTCATGAGTTCCTGCCATTACTTTGAGATTTTTTCAATGAGAACTAAATAAATGAAATATACGTGGTTTCTCTCAATACCTTGCTAATTGTCCAAAGCCTTTTTAAAAATATATCTTAGGATGCCAGACATGATGTTTTAACAAGAGTACTGTCTAATGTACTTTTCAAATATTATATACTGATAGTTTCGTTATTGCCCGATTGTCATTAAACCCGCGCGCTTGATCTATGAAAAATCAATGACCCACTGGGGTGGGGTCAATTTTGACCCAACGATTTTATTTGAACAAACTAAGTAGACACCCACTAGAGGATGCTAAATATCTAAGCTCTTTTAAAAGAAGATTTTTTAAAGTTGTCATTATTGTCAATTAACAATAAATTTAATGAAACATGTTTTATATAATTGTCGACTGTTAGGTGTTTCCTTTTCCCCCTATTTTTACTTTGTCACTTTGTTGTAAAAGAAATCTGCGTTTGCCCTTGTCTTCATCCATTAGTATAACTTGCTGTTCGATAGGAAGGTTTTGTAATGACGTGTTAAGATCGTGTATAATATAAGGCTCTTCAAATTAAGAAAAATTAAGATGAAATATTAATTCCTTATTTGCTTATTTGCTTAATCTACTCAGAGAATATTTAAAACCCGGTGTTCTTTTTTAAGAATAACATGAGCCATGTCAACATGGCCATCCCCCGCCGAATGTGTTTGCTCATTGGTAGAATGTATATGTAGTAGAGTTTAAGAGGTCTTTTGGTAATGAAAACTGATGGCTATAGTGATTACAGATTTGAAACCTATGTGAATACTGATGGCTGAAAATAACAAAAAATAATGCAGGGTAGGTTATCATTCTTGTGTGCTGCATCCCTCCTCAGTAAAATCTATCCACCTATGAAGTTTCAAGTTGATACCTCAAATACTTTTTGAGAAAAAAATTGAATTGAAAAATTAAGTATGGAAAATAACAAAAGGCAATAACTCAAAAGTTATAAAAGGTAGAGTTATCATTTTTGTGCACTGCACACCTCCTGAGTTAGATCTATGCACCTATGAAGTTTCATAATGATATCTTAAAGGCCTTTTGAGATATGCTCTGGACAAAAATTTATTTTGAAAAATAACAAAGGGCAATAACTAAACAATTATGCAGGGTAGAGTTATCGTTCTTGTGCACTGCACTCCTCCTCAATGAGATCCATCCCGCTATGAAGTTTCAAGTTGATACCTCAAATACTTTTTGAGATAAGCTCCGGACAAAATAGTATGAAAAAGAACAAAGGGCAATAACTCAAAAATTGTAAAGGGAAGAGTTATCATTCTTGTGCACAGCATTCCTCCACAATATGATCTATCCACCTATGACATTTCATGTTGACATCTCAAACACTTTTGAGTTATGCTCCGCTCGGGTGAAAAATTAGGTATGAAAAATAACAAAGGGCAATAACTCAAAAATTATGAAAGGTA